GGGAGCCCGATGCGGGACTCGATCCAGGGACTCCAGGATCATGACCTGAGCCGAAGGCAGTCGCTTAACCAACTGAGCCACCCAGGCGCCCTAAAATCTTTAAAAACAAAACAAAAAAACCCCCAATAACCTAGGTCTTTGTTTCCAAATATCTGCACTTCCCAGTGTTTATTGCAGGAAGCAGTTTGGTGGGAGTCCCAGCCATGTTTGACACTTGGGGATCAGCATACAGCATGTGCCGCAGTCTAGAATTTTTGGTCTTAAATTTATTCCTTGAACTAGTGATTGAACCACTTGAAAGGCAAGGGCTGGAAGGGCAGGAGGGAGCCTTGTTCCTGACGAGGGTGCCATGAGACTAGCAGTCCTGGCATTCCGCCGCCCATCTCCCTCCCTCGTACCTGCTGCAGTTCAGCTAAGGCAGGACTGTTGAAAGGTGGTGCGTCACTTTCTAAAGCTCTCTATTTTCAGACCGCTGGTAAACGGCAGACTTTACATCCTGCTTTAGCGCATTCCTGAAACGTGATGGCCGTGTCTCTGGAGGCCTAGCTTGGTGGGGTGAGGGGCTCGGGTCAGGGCGGTGGGACCGCATCCCCAGCACCCAGTGCACCAGTGTGCTGGCACCTCGTTCGCATGGTGGTCCTATTTAATTAGTTGTGCTATTGCTCAGGTTTTGAGATTGCTTGCTCAAAATCGAGGTACTTTGCTCATCCTTAGGCTCCCCGCCCTGCCATTTTTTGCCGTTCCTGAGCATGCCTCTTGGGCGGCTCTGTCGCTGCCCTCTGTCCGTGGACTTTTGTTCACGGTAGCGGCTGGTGTCTGCAGTGTCTGTCGCCAGTGTGTGGTTCAGCTCCGCGTAGCACAGCCCCGGCCACGTGCCAGCCTCTGGCCACACAGACCCTGTTTTGTGACTGTTGGCGTTTACCGGCCTCTTGGTGTCTGCCGTGGGGCGTCCCTACCCCCTCACACTGGTCCACGGTCCCACTGTTGCCAGTATTTATTTAAGACAGTCCTGCTGCTTCCCTCCTAAAAGTGAATGGTTTTCTGTCTGAGAGAGTTTGTAACCCAACCTGACTGCACTTCGTAATCCAGACCCAGCTCTGGAAGGGACACCACCTCACTCACCGTTCTGTGCTTGAGTGTGTCCACCCTAAATCTACACAGATACTACGTATAAAACACCCTCAGTAATAGCTAAAGAGAAGAAGAGTTGTACAGAAGAGAAAAAGGAACGTGGTGATTCAGACAGCCTCCCACTGGGGGTTCTTAGAGCCTGAGCGGGACTATGAAGCTCTGCTTGAAGGCACTGGGGGCCGGGGTCCTCAGGAGGACGGGCCTAAGGCTTGTGAGCCCGTGTGCATTGCTGCTGGTGTCCTGCCCGGTGTTTGCCCAGGTCAGGGTGCTGGGGCCTGATTGGCTGACCTGTGTTTTTGACAGTCTCCACTTGGGCGGAGGATGTGAATTCAAGTCGGGGGCTGCCGAGAACTTAGGACCCCACCTTCACTTAAGTTACGAGTGAAGGAGACCTAATTGTTTATACAATAAATGTAAATAAAATGTTCAGCCCCTCATTATGTGAGACAATGAAGAACAAAACATCAAGAGAAGATTTGAGGAACAGACTCGGGACAGAGGCTGTTAGATTCAGTGCGCTTCTCCCACAGAACCAGCACCCTGAGCCAGCCCCTGAGAAGAGTCGTTGAGATGTGGGAGGGACTAAGACACTTTAACTCTACTTAGCATATCCAGAGAGAGGAGAGTTGAGATGGAGAATTCCAGCAGAGACCTGAAGAGAACCAGGTCCAGAGCCAGGACCTCCAGTAGCTACAGTAGGAACTCCGTGAGTGTGATGACAGAAGCAGATCGAGAGACCCCGGGGGCAGGAGGGGGATGGCTGCCGTTGGGGTACACCACGTGATGATTCGCATGGTGGCGTGGGTCTGTGGTGGGGCGGCACCTTCACGGACCTGCTGAGGGAATAGCGTCCGAAGATTGAAGAGCCTCAAGCATGACAAAAACCCATTTGAACCTCTGTCCTTAAAACCTGTAGACGACTTAGCCTCCCAATGAAAGCTAATCTGTGTAGACAATGGCAACCAGGAGACTGGGGTGTTCACAGTGATGGCAGAAAACCTCAACCAGCAACATCCTTGAAGACAAAAACTTTCTGACGAAGCCAGAACAGTATGTCGGAAAACTTACCAGCAACCCAAACAGGAGAGAATCCCAGGGTATTCAGTGAAGGAAGTTGGGCTTGGGTGAAGCAGCGAAGGCCAGGCAAGGTGATGAAGACAGGTGAGGTCAGGGTGAGGTCGTACCACTGAGCAAAGCTGCACAACCTGTCTTGTCCAGTCGCTAGGTAAACTCCAGCCGCATGATGACCGCAACCTGGAAGTTCTCACATCGTTGAGGGAGAAGGCGAGGGTCAGGAAGGCATGTCGTGGAATCTAGAGTGCCCAGGAGAATGGATTGATTGAAAAAATGAAAATCAGAATAAGGGGTAAGGTGGTCTGTCCGGACCCAAATGTACTAATAATTCTAAGTGGCTAAATGCTTCTTAAAAGGTTGTCGTGCTGGTGAAAGGAGTGAAAGCCGACGATAGGCTGTTTTGAGGGACGCAGCTAACATCCAGGGTGATGATGAAGGAAGAGGGGAGGGGTAGGTGTTGGCCTGAGATAAGGCCGTTACTGCTTACGACAGAAGCCATGTTTTCTTAGGCTTGGGCTTGTGGGGCTCAGCTGGGCAGTTCTGATGGTCCTGCCTGGGTTCGCGAGCCAGATGGGAGGTGCCGCCTCGGTGGGGTGTCCTGACCTTGCCGTCCAGATGAAGGCCCACTTGGAGCAGTCTGGAGCAGGAGGCCTGGCACACACGGGCTCTATCGAGTGAGGCCCAGACCTGCTCCAACGCGTTTACTCACCAACCCAGAAAGTGGTTCCCCTTTGGTTCTCGTGGAGGACTCCAAAAAGCTCTTGTTGACATCGATCGTATGTGTTGATATTTACCGACTTAGAAATTAAATGGAGAACTTTAAAAAATAAATATTCATGAAAAAAAGTTACCATCATTAGCATATTTCTAATTAAAAATATTATTCCCCAAAGGAAATTTAGCAAAAAAAATGGCATTGTTTTTCCGCAATAGCCAAACTGTGGAAAGAGCCGAGACGCCCTTCAACAGATGAACAGATAAAGAAGATGTGGTCCATATATACAATGGAAT